CTCACACACACACACACTCTCACACACACACACACTCTCACACACACACACACACACACTCTCTCACACTCACACTCACTCTCTCACACTCACACACACACAAACACACTCTCTCTCTCTCTCTCTCTCTCTCTCTCACACACTCACACACACACACACACACTCACACTCACACACACACACGTGTCACTGAACACTGACATCTGCTGGACACAGAGCAAAGCTGAACTGAAGCTCGCTATGAGATTTTACACAACATTATGAACATGAATGAGACTAAAGGCTGATTTATACTTCTGAGCAGTAGCCTGAGGTGCACCTCTCCAGAAATCTAACACGTGATGTGAATGTCTGAGACTCAACTGGACATTTTGCACTGAATTAAACATGAAACACAGCAAACCACTTGAGTTAATACATTACCTAAAACCATAAAAAAATTGTTAAATGAAATAAAAATTACTGAAATAAAAGAAAACTTTTTAAAATTATTTTACCGGATTTTAATGTGATGTAGTAAAATATCTCAAACTAAAACTGAAATAAAAATGAATAAAAACATTAATAAAAAACTATAACAGTATCTCAATGATATTAAAATAACACATGGCTTATTGCTTTAAAAACAAGTGTTTTGATACCGTGTCTCAGGAGACTCAGCAAACAGAGGACTCAACGCTTTCACAAAAGACTTGTTTATATTTTATAAATACTTTTTCATTGAACAATAATCACCAGGGATCCATTGCCTTAAAAACAAAAGTGAAAAAGAGGGACAAAATAAACATCAGATAAATATTCATACCTTCTCTTTTACTCTCTGAAATCAAACGAAAGAGACACACAGATCTAAAATAACCCCCCCCCCCAAAAAAAAACATCAGATAACAACAAAGCTCACAATGAGAGAAATTAACAAACAAAACAAAAACACAAAAAACAAATAAGATACAAAACAAAAGCAGATTTTGGAACGGGCAACGGTGTCTGTGATTGGTCAGTATTAACTAATGGTCGATCAGGAAACTATATATATATACAGTGCATATATAGTTTATATATATATATACTTTCTCTGGAATGATCTGGAATATTTCCCAGTGGTCTGAAAGGTTTAAAATCCTCCATATAAAATCAGTCTGTCTGTAATAGTCATCAACACCACAGATGAGTGACAATTAAACAATCAGCCAATAACATAAATCACAAAACAAAAACTCACGAACTTCAGAGAAACAAACTAAATAGAGATTAAAACGAGCTGCAGATAAAAACTAGAGTGAAATCAGGCTCAGCGAGTCACGTCCATCCAGTGTAACGCTGCATTTACCGTGTTTTTACACCATATCTGTAGAGTATTTACTCACAGCAGTCTGAAGACGTGCTTCGGTCCGAACCTCTCGATTGAACTCGTCTGATATTACTGAAGAGCTCATTAAGACTGACGATAATCATAAATAATAATAAATCCACTGCACTTACTGAGCACAAGACTGCAACAGCACTTCAAAACATTGTTAAACCAAGAGGACTTGAAATATAGATATATGTGTATACTTCATTTTAAATTATTTCTCAAAAGTATGATTTAGAGAACTCAGAGAAGAGGACAGGCATTTAAATAGATTTGTTTTCTCAAAAATAGTCCTGAAAATATATTGCATGTTCCAGCTTTAGAAACAGACTTAATAAAATATCTCCTTTTTGTTCAGAAGAAGTTGAAAGCAGAAAGACGATGCTGTTCCCAAACGCCGTCATTTCAATTATTTTCAGAGACGTTTCTTCAGTAATCACTGGAAAGAAGCGCTCACCAGCTGAACTAGATTCATCGTAACTAGTATCTTGTGAAGCATGGACAAATAACTCTGCATGTTCAATAAAAATAATAAATTTCTAATCATATATTTTGCATCTAATATTTGCCACACATTTATATTAAGGTGCTACTAAACAGCTGTGTCCGTCTCTCATCAACAGCAGGTGAAAAACTGTATTAAACACAAATAATAAAATGCAACTAGACACATAATGGTGTCGAGATGAACAAAACGAAGAGTGATTAACTCGAAGCACGCGTTTAGTAGATTTCCATCCAATTAAAGCTCTGCATCTAAAAAATCAAGCCAAAGAACAAGACAAACATGACGGGGGATGTAATAGTGCAATTTCTCTAGGGGGAGACTAGAAGCGTCATCAAATAAATATTAAAAATACATTTGTGCATTCTACAGGATCTGAATCTAAAAGCTCAATATCATTCATATAAAACACAGATCTCCGTACAAATCAGGCCAAACACTTCGGCTGCTCCGATTCGCTGATTAGTTGGCCGTGTTTAACCCTGCAGGTTTTGTGATTCTCACCGTCCTTTGGTTCATTGAGTCGTCGGATGTTAAAGAAAGAGGAAAAATGAATGGTCTACAAAAGCTGAACTTCGATCAGATAAGCATCTTCTCCAGCCCTTAAAGGGACAGTTCACCCTAAAATCAAACGATAGGATAGAAACAATACTGTAGAATAAGTGTTCGGTATATCTTCTTTTGTGCTTAACAGAGGAAAGAAACTCATGCAGGTTTGGAACGACATGAGGATGATAGAATTATCTTTTTTGGGTGAACTGTCCCTTTAAGGCCGATTCACACCAAAAACCGTAACGATAACTATATAACTAATTATAACTACAGTCTAAAACAATGGTGTGGGATTTACTTTGAAACCATTTTCACTCAGAAACGGCTAGTAAATTTCACAAATAATTATGAAAAGAGGCAAGTAACGCATTGAAGTAAATGTGACGTTTTGAAGTAGAAAGGCTGAAACTGTATTTTCTCTTAGAATAACTTTAGAAGTTTTGTGGTCCGTCGCTTTAAATGCTTGAGCTATCTGAATGTTTTTATTCTTTATCATTTTGACAATATCCTTCATCCGTGTCGTTATAGTTGTTGTGGAACTCGTTATTCTCATGAAATTAAAAGTGATTATAGTTATCGTTATTTCATTATTGGCGTGAACAGACCTTTAGTCTGGGTCTGGATCTAGTCTTGGTCTCGACTAATGGAGATGTTTTATGAAAGCATCCGTGTTGTGGATCCTTCAGAGATTCTCCCATCATCCCTCAGCAGTGTGACAGTCCAGTGTACTTGACAAGGAGTTGAACAGAACCACCGAACCTTCAGCGAGCAGATGAACAGAGTGAGGCTGGAATGAGTCTCTGAAGGAGAAATGAAGAAGGCAGATTAATCGTGGATTAAGACCGGAGACTCGGTCTGGTCGTGTCCTTCCATCATCATTATCTAACGGCCCTGAATGCTGACCAGAACCGCTCCGCTTCCACTGGACCACACAGATCACAGTTTCACTGCAGGTTCTTGAGGATGCGGCCGTAGCGGAAGTCGTAGACGTGTCGGCACAGGTACACCAGCTGCGGGTCGATGCCGTCGGGCACCGGGCGGTGGGCGGGGCCAGTGCCGTCGGAGAGGTGGGGCACCGGGCGGTGGGCGGGGCCAGTGCTGTCGGAGGGGCGGGGCACCATGCGGGGGGCAGGGCCAGTGCTGTCGGAGGGGCGGGGCACCAGG